TACAAAATTAACAAGTCTGAGAGAGGTCCACATGTAGTACCTATATATGTAATATCAAAGCAATTGGACTTGCGGTTTTTAACAAGAAGTCGAAAATTTAATTTTTACCAAAAATGACAAAAATATTCACCAAAATTAGAGAATTGAAGATATCATCATGAAATGAACAAATCTGAGAGAGGTCTACCCAAGGTACATATACACCAAGTATCAAAGCATTCAGGCTTGTAGTTTTCAAGAAGAAGTCGAAAAAGTAAAACATTGACACGGACGACGGACGACGACGACGGACGACGACGACGGACAATCACTCATATGATAAGCTCCGCTCGACAAAGTCGACAGCGGAGCTAAAAAGTCCCTGCTCCATATTATATACTCACCTACATACCACGTTTGCCTCCAGAGTTTTATTAACAACTTCTTTTTCAAATTTTGCACTAGAACAAAGAAATTAGGAATTGGTTCAAAGCAAGCATTTATAAAATGCAACTGGTGCATGCGATGAATATCCCATTTTAAGTCATAGGAATTACACGATAACAAAAGAACAAGGCCGGTAAATGTACATTTCCAGAAATACTATAACTGCGAATTAAGTCTGAAAGAACTGGTTAGTATTTCTCTTGGGCTTTTTTGTTCGCCTAACTTTGGTAGGGCGATAATCAAGATAATTTCTGTTCAAACAAAACCCAGTGCGTTCTATAACTGATCAGAATTAAGTTGCATGCAATGGAATCTTCATCGCATATCTCCAAGCATGTGAAACAATATTGCTTATCCTCATCTTATGAATTTTTAATTGATTATCTACATAAAACATTGTAAATTTGTGCTACCAAGCCTATAATGACAATCAAAAGGGCAAATCTAGTGTACTGTAGAAAAATATTATACTCACACAACTTTTTTAGACCATTTACACTCCTTTCCTTTGTTCAATGGCTCCAGGTCAAAAAGGAAACATTCAACAGCTTGGAATGGTAACAGCAGGAACTCAGGTAAAATAGTCCTTATGTTACAAAATCGCAGGAATTCACTGTTGCCATAGTCAAGATAAAACGCCTACACACACAAAATATATAACAGCACGGTTTTTCAAATTTTCAAATGAAATTAAAATGAATTAAGAAAGTTACTTAGTTTATTAAGTTGTTGTCAATAAAAGTAAGTAATAGGAGAAAAAGATGTATAATAATAAGGTTATATATGCACTTGTACAGTACGCCGTCGCATCGACCTCCACTGCGCGTCACCGATCAATAGTCCCGCTGTACTGTCTTTGTGCACACTTTGGCAAAATTTTGATTCAAGCATTTTACTATATACACCGTAAAAACTCCAAAATTTCGACCCCTTTAAAAATTCGAACACCTAATTATTTGCCGGG